GGGAGCAGCCCAACCATAAGGACCCGCCAGACCACGAGCAGCTAAACCAGGAGCGGCCAGACCAAAGGGAGCTTCCACAACAGCTGCGGGGCTGGTGCACTGACTGAACACATTCTGGAATAGAAAAAACATAACATACAACATAACATCACGCCTTTTATTCCCGAAGGGGTAGGCAGAGGTGCACATTATACCTCTACTACTATACAATATAACACCCACTTTTCACTATTTATGTTATGAGTCCCATGTAAAAGGGGGTGAGCCTATTACCATATACCGGGCACAATTCTAGAATCCGTGCTACTACTGAGAGAATTTAAAAACCCGGTAATACTTTGCCCGACCCGGGAATCGAACCCGAGACCCCTTGCCCGGCAGTCGCACTTACGACCACTTGGCCAACGAGGCATAGAAAAAAGAAACAGTAATTAACGGTTGTTGTATAATGATGATAAAATGTATGAATATGACTCAATAGAATTATTCTCACCTGGACCAAGCAAGCTTGGATGCAGAGGAACACGAAAGTGAAGGTAGACATGTTTAATATGTCGAAGTTTGAAATCGAATGACTTTACGGGACACTAAGTAAACTTTTATACGAAACTGATATTTCTTATCAGCTTTATTTGAACATTCTGTCTCAATATCATACTTTAGTTACAAAATTATAGGCCTTTATCGTTTTGTCGAAATATTTTATGCCTATAACACATTTATTCTTGGAATATTGCTCAGTAGAAGGGTATAAAATTGTTGAATGTTTATGAAGGATATCATTCAATTGTTTAAACTGGTTACTACTGGTTCTATTTTTTCAAAATGGCCGTCAAAGTTATCGTTCTTTTTTGTGCCCAAGCTCTCCTTATCCAGGTATTTATTTTGTTTCTTTTTTTTGTTATTCTAAAGTTGGATTATGAATTAAGACTGCCTCGTTGGCCGAGTGGTCGCAAGTGCGACTGCCGGGCAAGGGGTCTCGTGTTCGATTCCCGGGTCGGGCAAATTATTACTGGGTTTTAAAAAAATCTCAGTAGTAGCACGGAGTCTGGAAATGTGCTCAGTATATGGCAATAGGCTCACCCCCTATTACATGGGACTCATAACATAAATAGTGAAAAGTGGGTGTTACATTGTACAGTAGCATAATGTGCACCTCTGCCTACTCAATCGGGGATAAAAGGCGTGGTGTTATGTTATGTGTAAAAATTGCCTCCATCAACAAAAGTTCATGATATAAAAAAATCCAACTTGAATGACATTACAATTTTATCATTCCCAGCATTTTTAGTACGATTTCCAAAATTTCAATATTATCCTATGACATTTAACGAAGATTTTTTTACTTACACTAGTTTTTTTTTCATTGACAGTTCGCATTCAGCCAATGTACAAACAGAGTACCAGTTGACGCGTCAGGCATTCCATACAACTCTGGATTTGGATGGATTGGTTCTGGTTATGATGGATTTTCTGGGTACAATGGACTTGGGTACCCAGGATGGGTTGCTCCTGGATTGATTAACGATGGATTTTATTCACCTGCAATGGAATTTACTGCTACCAATGGTGGAGCTTTACCAGTAACTAGTTCTTCATCAATGGCTCCCGTTGGAATCTCTGTAGTTTCCGACAATATGTTTGAAGGAGCTCTCTCTGTCGCTGGACAGCTGCCTTTTGTAGGAACAACTGCTATGGAAGGTGTACTGCCGACCAGTGGAGCTGGAGCTATCAACCATGGTTGTGGTAACGGAGTTAATGCTATGGTGAGTTCAATGACCTCCATTTAACCCTTTGAGTACCATCATTATAGACACAAAGAACAATAGGTTGCGGTCACCGGTGACCGCGCGGTGTTTAACAGTTTAATCTGATGATAGTATTTTTATTGGTAACTAGCTGTTGCCCGCGATTTCGTTCGCGTGGAATAGTGATTCACAGCTCCTACCCCGTAGGTAATGTAGCCTATATGTTGTCCTGACCTGTTAGTAATATTCATGCAAAATTTGAAGTAAATCCATGTAGTACTTTTTGTAATTGGCCCTGACATACATACAGACAAACAGACAAAAATTCTATGAACCATATTTTTAGCTTCGGTTCCGTTTGTAGATTATTATTAAAAAAAAGAATTAATTAAAAAAAAAATCAATGTAAAGTTCGCACTTTCCTACGTTTTTATTATATGTACAGATAGCTATAGATTATGTTGAACAACTATATAAATCGTTAAAACTAAACAAATAAATATAAATATAACATCACGCCTTTTATCCCCGAAAGGATAGGCAGAGGTGCACATTATGTCACTGTACATTGCAACACCCACTTTTCACTATTTATGTTATGAGTCCCATGTAATAGGGGGTGAGCCTATTGCCATATACCGGGTACAATTCTAGACTCCGTGCTACTATTGAGATTTTTTTTAAAACCCTTTTGCCCGAACCGGGAATCGACACCGAGACCCCTTGCCCAGCAGTCACACTTGCGACCACTCAGCCAACGAGTCTATGAAATACAAATAAACTACCTACTTTAATACTTTAAACTTTATATACTACTATGGCAACGCTCATTTTCATTCATTTTCTTTTCAGTAGCAGTTTCCTTATAAGTATAACATTAAACTAAATAATTTTGTTCGAATTTCAGTCTGCTCTTAGCGCGACTTCAAGTCCCGCTTCAGTAGTGACTGACGCATACCCAGGCGCTCTCGCATATGATGGACTGTACGGCAACCGTATCACCCCTGGACTTGCTTCACCAGCTCTGGCATACAATGACGCTGTCTTACCAGGAAGAGTTTACAACGGTCTTGGGTACAATTCTGCTGTAGATACCATCTACAGTCCAGCTATTGATGCCTTCGGATACCCATCTGCTGCAGACGCTCTTGAATTTACCCCAACCAGCGGTGGAGCCCTTCCAGTTTCCAGTGCATCTGCAATCCCTCCGACTGGCATTGCTGTATCTTCTGACAACGCTTATGAAGGGTCTTTGGCTGTTGGTGGAGAGCTGCCGTTTGTGGGTACTGTTGCTATGGAAGGCGTGGTGCCCTCTGCCGGTGCTGGTGCCGTTAACCATGCTTGTGGTAATGGTAGAAACGCCATGGCCAGCGGCTCTGCTGCTTTCGCTCCAGCTGCAGTGTCTCCATTTACTGCTTACGGCCCTGCTCCTGGTTTTGCCCCAGGTTTCTCATACCCTGGTAAATTTGGATGTGGATTCTAAGAGTCCAGCCCAAAATGTTATTAAGTTTTTAAAATTTGAGTTTTATATGTAATAAAATTGCTTTAATTGTATTGTTATAGTATAATTAAAACTAAAATATTTACACCTTAAAAATAATAATAATGAAAAAATAATAATAATAATAGCACCCTACCTCACGGTAGCGATGAGGAAAATATTTTCTTTGATGCCTTATAATTTTTTTTTTCATAATTATTATTTTTACATTAGGTATTATTATTGTAATAAAATGGTTTTAATTATTATTTATGATTTTTCTTTTCTGCGTCCTTTATCTGATGGAGTGCTGGACAATGATTATCTTAAGGGGATTTTTTACTGCACCTCTATTTATAAATTTAAGCAAACCAAATTTCTCTACTAATAACTCACCGCATAATATCAAAAAAATGACTGTACTACAAATTAACCAGATACTGTATTCTGTTACATAATATTAAACCTGCTTACGACACATAAAATAGTGCACTCAGTAGATAAATGTGACATTTTAAAGTCACGCTTACATTTATGTTGATTTTTCTTATTTTTTATCGATCAGTCGTTACTCCGCTTTGAGTAAGCATGAGGATGCATACTTAGTCCTCTTTTAGATTAGAAGAGGCCTTTTCTCAGCAGTGAGCTTATAGACTAATGATGATAATGATAGATTTTTTTTTTATTTCTATCGCGATGGAAATCCTCATGGACTTCTCATATAGTGGGGACGACGAGGGGGCATGGACTCTAAATTCTCGGCTACACCCACTTTTCACTATTTATGTTATAAGTCCCATGAAATAGGGGGTGAGCCTATTGCCATATACCGGGCACAATTCCAGACTCCGTGCTACTACTGAGAGTATTTAAAAACCCAGTAATATTTTGCCCGACCCGGGAATCGAACCCGAGACCCCTTGCCCGGCAGTCACACTTACGACCACTCTGCCAACAAGGCAGTCTGCAACTATATTGAACATAGTTTTATTTTGGTGACGGGGGGAAACCAAAAAAGACCCATATAATCTGCCATATTAGAAGTTACTTAAAATAGGCAATTCATTATATGAATGTTCAGCTGGTGGTAAATTTTGATATCATTCAATTGAAGAAGATAAATTTAAAGTAAATAATGAAATTCGTTGATCTCTTTAGGGAGTAAGAATTAGAAGTATGAGATTTGTTCGTCACTAAAACCTTCCCAGCAACCTTCAACACTTGGAAGGAGTTTTGGGTCCTCTGAAAGATACCTGCTTCAGAGCGCCCACTGAACATGGCCTATGATTTCTAGATCAGCCGGGTGGGAGATACTTGCATAGTTATAATTTGGGATTTCGGTTTTTAATATTCTTTGATATTATGCCCAACGCTGAGTAATAGTTTTACTCTGATCCAGACGAGAAATGAAGTTACATCAATTTGAATCACAATATCTGGACCACATAAAGAATTAAGAATGTAATTTGTATCAAATATCTGTCGCACAGTATATTTATGAAGGTGGGAAAACAGAAGTCGCATATTTTTTTTTTATGGCATAATCCGGTAAACGAGCAGACGAATCACCTGATGGTAAGCAATCGGCGTCGCCCATGAACACCTGGAACACCAGAGGCGTTACAAGTGCGTTACCAGCCTTTAGGGGATTAGGAGTTTGAGGATTGTTGGGGATTCAGGGATTGGGAAGATTAGGGAAGGGGTAACTTCACTCACACGACGAAACACAACGCAAGCGTTGCTTCACGTCGGTTTTATGCTCGGCCGTGGTATCACTCCGGTCCAGCCAGCCCATTCGTGCCGGCATTACAAAGCACGTCTGTTTACCACATCGAGACTTATAAAGCTTAATATTATGAAACTTCTCAACACCCGAGACAGTTTATGCTCCGGCATTATAGAGGTAGATATTACTTAATGTAGATGACATTATGATGGTTTTACCGCAATCTCCACGTTTGGAGGACGGGCTAGAGATCGTTTATTCTTATGTTAATCTGTTAAGGACCACCATGACGAACAAAGTATTCATATATTTTCATGTCCTGACGAATAATGACAGATTGTTTATCTACATAGTAATAAAAGTATATAACTGGGTAAGGTCAATGCCTTACCATCACGCAATCGTGATGGAATATTTTTAGGAAAATGAAGAATAGACCAGTAACAATTTCATTTCAAGTTCAGTTTATTTTCCATAATGAATGCTTATTTCTTTAAATGAGGTAGGGGGATCCGCAACCGCAAGCGCACTGTCCACTGATGGAGACGGAGCCAGCAGCAGCCACAGGTCCACCGAAGCTAACAGCGCCCATGATGGGGACCTGACCAGCGATGGCTGTAGTACCAGCGACTGGCAGCTCACCAGCGACCGCCACGTTGCCTTCACCAGCACCGCCGTAAGGAGCAGCACCAGGGTATGCCAGACCATCATAAGCTAAAGGTGAAGCTAGACCGAAGGGAGCAGCAATGCCAGGAGCAATAATCTCACGACCAGCAAGTCCGGGAGTAATAAGGCCGTTAGCAGCCAGGCCAGGAGCGGCCCAGCCAAGAGGACTAGTCAGACCACGAGCAGCTAAACCAGGAGCGGCCAGACCGAAGGGAACGTCAACAACAGCTGCTGGGCTGGTGCACTGACTGAACACATTCTGGAAAAACAAAATCATGGTTAGTATTATGAAGCCGAGAGTGTAAAGTGATGGATCATTACCATTCAACATGGTAAAATTAGAAAAGTTAATAGCAATGTTTTTACCTGGATCAAGCAAGCTTGGATGCAGAGGAACACAAAAGCGAAGGTAGACATGTTTGTTCAACGAGGAGCTGAAGACTGAATGATGAATGGGACATCACGACACATTTTATACCCCGCCCCTTTAATATGAAAAGTGATTTCAAAATTTTGGGCACGTGTCAGAATTGTGTCAATAAAAACATTTAAATATTTCTTAATAAGTAAACACAATATAGGCTTATCATTCTTACACAAGCAATTAATTAATTAATTACGTGTGAACATTTTATACGAATAGTAGTAGAACATTGATAAAGGTTAGGTATAAAAACTTAAGAACAGTTTCGCTGAACATCATTCTCGTGTCAGCACTAGAACAGCAGCATCATGTCTATGAAGGCTATCCTCGTCCTCTGCGCTCAGGCGCTCCTCGTCAAGGTGAGAAAATCATTTAAATTTCATTTGAACATTTTAACCAAGTGTGTTTATAATTTCTAATTATTTTACTAACATCGATTTTTATTTACAGTCTGCCCTCAGTCAGTGCACTAGCAGAGCTGCGGTGGCTGAAATCTCTCCACTAGCTGCTCCTTACGGCCTGGCTACTCCCGTCCTAGGCACTCCTTGCGGACTGGCCGCTTCTGAGCTTGTGGCCCCATGGGCTGGTCTTGGAGCTGCTGGATTAGCAACTCCTTATGGTCTGGCTGGTAGAGGCCTGGCTTACGACGCCATCATCGGCGCCCCCGCCATGGAATTCAGCCCCACCAGTGGTGGTGGTATGCCTGTGACCAGTGGCTCCGCCATCGCTCCCGTCGGTATCTCCGTGGCGTCTGACAATATTTACGAGGGTGCTCTGGAAGTGATTGGAGAACTGCCGTTCGTGGGTACTGTAGCTATGGAAGGCGTGGTGCCCTCTGCCGGCGCTGGTGCCGTCAACCATGCCTGTGGTAATGGCAGGACCGCCATGGCCAGTGGCTCTGCTGCCTATGCTCCGGCTGCTGCTCTGGCTCCTCTTGGTGCTTACGGTCCTGCTGGTGCTTTCGCTCCTGCTGCTCTCGCTGCTCCTGGCCTCGGTTTCCGAGGTGACCTGATCGGCAGAGGCTGCGGTTGCGCCATCTAAAAAGTCGTAATAACTATGACGTTTGAAAGATTAATACAATAAAAAAAATTGGACAGTAATGAGATAGTATTTCTTCCTTTGTATCTTCTTACTTTGTTTAATAGCGTATTTCATAACGAATTGACGAATAACGTTCTTCGAGTAAAATGCAAACTCGACTAGCTTCAAGCCATGCTAGAGGCTCATATTCATGAGCAGCATTCCGCGACCTGCGACGCGGCGACTGTTGCGCTGCTACTGGCTACTCGAGTCTGCGTGCCCAGCGCGCCCTCTGCCGTGATTCACGCGCACTTTCCTCTATTTGCGGTATCGACGACGGCGTTGCGCGCGACACTGTTGGCGCGCTAGACTCGCCCGCCGGTAGCTGCGTTGGTGTTGGGTTCGAATCCCGGGTCGACGCAAATCTATATACATAAAAATGAATTTTCGTTCGTTAGTCTCGCTAAAACTCGAGAACGGCTGAACTGATTTTGATATTTGGTCTTGAAATATTCGTGAATGTCCAGGGAAGGTTTAAAAGATAAAAGACAGTCGGGTAAATTTAAAAAATCGAATGCCTAAAATATTTTTAAACTACTGAACATCACAGGGTAGGCAGAAGAATGTAGAGGTATAGTAATTTAGACAGCTATTAAGTGAATCAAATCGGATGTTCTTCGAATCGAATTTCATTATTTTTTTTCGACTGCACGGTTGGCGCGATGGCTGGGCAACTGGCTGCCGCGCAACGTGCTGCGGGTTCGATTCCCGCACGTAACAACTCTTTGTGTTATCCACAGATTGTTGTTCCAGGTCTGAGTGTCCTGTGTATGTGATGTTATATGTTTGTAAACGCACCCACGGCACAGGAGAAAATCCAAGTGTGGGGCAATGTTTGTTAAAAAAAAAGTTCAAAATAAAAGTAGCTTATGTCACTCTTTAGTCCATCCGCTACCTGCCAATAAAAGTCTAGCAAAAACGGTCCAGGTATTTCAAATATTATCGAGTATAAACAAACAAACAAGGTTTGTAAAAAAATGTTATTTAGATTTTCCTTAATTTTCTATGCCTTTCTTCCTAACATCAATTTCCTTGGGGCCAGAGAATGATTTTCTCATCGTCCACTATCACATTGTTTTTATAACATTAGCCGTTAAAAGAGCAGACGGATCACCTGATGGTAAGCAATCGGCGCCGCCCATGGACACCCGAAACACCAAGGCGTTACAAGGGCGTTACCGGCCTTTTGCGAATTCGGAATTTGAGGATTGTGGAGGATTTGGGAGACTAGGGAGGGGGGTAATTGGGCCTCCGGTAACCTCACTCACACGACAAAACACAACGCAAGCGTTGTATCACGTCGGTTTTCTATGAGGTCGTGGTATCACTCCGGTCGAGCCGGCCCATTCGTGCCGAAGCATGGCTCTCCCACACTCACATACCGCATCCATCTTTCATTACATTTCTCACACAATCTATAAATTACTATTCAGAGCTAGCGTGGAAGAGTCATGCTTCGACACTGTAGGGTCTGGTCAAGTACAGTGACACCACAGAGTTAGGAGACCGGCGTGGAACAACGCTTGTGTTATGTTTCAGCGTGTAAGAGAAGTTTATATTTTCTATATCATCCTTACTAATATTATAAATCGGAAAGTAAGTTTGTTTGTTTGTTTGTTTGTTCCGCTTTTACGCCGTAACTACTAAACCTACTGTTTTGAATTTTTGCAAACGTAAAGTTAGAAGTCCGGATCAAATAATAGAGTACTTTTTATCGCGGAAAAATTTGATATTTCCGTGGGAAAACAAAAGTATTGGTATAGATGGCGCTGTGTGTATTAGTGTATGTCACATAAGCTACTTTTTATCATTTTGTGACGCGAGCGAAGCCGCGGGTAAAAGCTAGTTTCCAATATTTACCAATATTTTCAAACAGTCACAACGGTAGAAAACCAATTACAGTAACTTACTACTATTCAGCATATTATTAATTAGTTATGTAAAACGCTACTAAACAAAGTAAAGACAAAAATAATAATTACAAGCTCATTACAGTCCAGTTTATTTTATTGTATTAATATTTCGAACGTTTTTTAAACGATTTTTTAAATGGCGCAACCGCAGCCTCTCCCGATCAGGTCACCTCGGAAACCGAGACCAGGAGCAGCGAAAGCAGAGGGAGCAAAAGCACCAGCGGGACCGTAAGCACCAAGAGGAGCCAGTGCAGCAGCCGAAGCATAAGCAGCAGAGCCACTGGCCATGGCGGTCCTGCCATTACCACAGGCATGGTTGATGGCACCAGCACCGGCAGAGGGCACCACGCCTTCCATAGCGACAGTACCCACGAACGGCAGCTCTCCAATCACTTCCAGAGCACCCTCGTAAACATTGTCAGACACCACGGAGATGCCAACGGGTGCGATGGCGGAGCCACTGGTCACAGGCATACCACCACCACTGGTGGGGCTGAACTCCATGGCAGGGGCGCCGATGATGGCATCGTAAGCCAGGCCTCTACCAGCCAGACCATAAGGAGTTGCTAAACCAGCAGCTCCAAGGTCAGCCCAAGGAGCGACCAACTCAGAAGCGGCCAGTCCACAAGGAGTGCCTAGGACGGGAGTAGCCAGGCCGTAAGGAGCAGCTAGTGGAGAGATTTCAGCCACCGCAGCTCGGCTGGTGCACTGGCTGAGGGCAGACTGTAAATAAAAATCGATGTTATTAAAATAATTAGAAATTATAAACATACTTGGTTAAAATCTTCAAATAAAATTTAAATGATTTTCTCACCTTGACGAGGAGCGCCTGAGCGCAGAGGACGAGGATAGCCTTCACAGACATGATGCTGCTGTTCTAGTGCTGACACGAGAATGATGTGCAGTGAAACTGTTCAAGTTTTTATACCTAACCTTTATCAATGTTCTACAACTATTCGTGTAAAATGTTCACACGAAATTAATTAATTAATTGCTTGTGTAAGAATGATAAGCCTATTGTGTTTACTTATAAAGAAATATTTAAATGTTTTTATTGACACAATTCTGACACGTACCCAAAATTTTGAAATCATATTTCATATTAAAGGGGCGGGGTATAAAATGTGTCCATTCATCATTCAGTCTTCAGCTCCTCGTTGAACAAACATGTCTACCTTCGCTTTTGTGTTCCTCTGCATCCAAGCTTGCTTGGTCCAGGTGAGAAATATTGCTTTTACTTTTCTAATTTTACTATGTTGAATGGTACTGATCCATTACTTTACACCCTCGGCTTTATAATGTTAACCATGATTTTTCTATTCCAGCATGTGTTCGGTCAGTGCACCAGCCCAGCAGCTGTTGTTGACGTTCCCTTCGGCCTGGCCGCTCCTGGCTTAGCTGCTCGTGGTCTGACTGGTCCTCTTGGTTGGGCTGCTCCTGGCCTGGCTGCTAACGGCCTTATTGCTCCCGGACTTGCTGGTCGTGAGATTATTGCTCCTGGCATTGCTGCTCCCTTCGGTCTAGCTTCACCTTTAGCTTATGATGGTTTGGGCTACCCTGGTGCCGCTCCTTACGGCGGTGCTGGTGAAGGCAACGTGGCGGTCGCAGGTGAGCTGCCAGTCGCTGGTACTACCGCCGTCGCTGGTCAGGTCCCCATCATGGGCGCTGTGAGCTTCGGTGGGCCTGTGGCTGCTGCTGGCTCCGTCTCCATCACTGGACAGTGCGCTTGCGGTTGCGGATCCCCTTACCTCATTTAAAGAAATAAGCATACATGATGGAAAATAAACTGAACTTGAAATGAAACTGTTACTGGTCTGTTTTTTTTCCTAAAAGTGCATGATGATAAAGCCAGCCTTATCTAGTTAGCAGCGGATTTTTTTACTTTTATTAGTGTGTGGATAAAAAATGGGTCGTTATTTGGCAGGCCTTAAAAATATAGTATCGTTAGTTTTTAGTACATATGTTTTTTAAGAAAAACAAGAAGAATTATAGTACAAAATAACAAGCAAATGAAAAATAAAACGAGACACAAAGATAAAACAGAAAGAAATAAGGAAATATTTGAACCATAATTAGGACACAGGATGTTCAGCGTATAGGCGTCTACGTGGCGTGATTTAGCTTGGTATTGTTATAAGGATTTTTTCAATGAAAACACGGACACAACGATATTTTACAAAGAAAGAAAGAAAGGAAGAGAAATCTTTATTTCACGCCAAAAAACAAGTGACATGGGTGCTTACTCTTGAAAACAATCTCAATGTCAATGTAATTTCAATCCAATAAAAATCTCAATAATTATTCAATGTCAAAACTATACAACCCCTATCATAGCTGTTAAAATAGCATTCAGAGTACGGAATATAAAGCCAAACTCAATACCATTTACTTCATTCAATATCCACGCAATACGGATGCAATGGGCGCTAGTGTTGCAACTCAAGAGTACGAAATTTACTATCTCCGGCCACCGTAAGCGCGGGCCTGCGGACGGCGAACATGGGTGGCTCCCCGTCCGACCAGAAACAGTACGGCGCGTCGCGTTCCGCGCGCGCCTCAAAGAACCATCAGACCACCACAGATGGGGCTCAATAGGGCCGATGCCGATTCGGAGTCGCGGAGAACCTAACGGGTAACCGGGGCTCCGGCTCGACGTGCAGGAGAAGGAACGGGGTGGTTTTTAGTCAGTAAGAGTCTGACACTTCCTTCCGCCTCACCTAGGCGGGAGCAGTCATTCGATGATTGTCCCCCCTTAAAAAAAAAATCACAATACCAATGTCGATCGATCAGAATTGGATTCAAGAGTAAGCCACATGAACAAATAAGCCAATAATCATATGTTTATGAAAATGAAACCCAGCTAGATCGATTTATTGCCGATTATTAAGTTTTATTGATCAAGAGTATATAGCCAAAGACTATATATCACATTAGAATGCATTCGGCCTACACTTTTAGTCGTTTTTGTTGTTTTGGTCCCAAATTTATGTACTATCTGCGCTCGACCCACCTCTAGTCAGCACCTCTTTTTTTTTAGAAGAAATAGACCAAATCATTAGACGAACTTTGTCCTTAATTTTGAATGTGGCTCTCGACGACCGAGCGTGGACAAGCTACTCTTTCCTATCTCCCGCCCATGGTACTGAAGAGTTAACCAGGAAAATTCTTTTTCAACCACTGGTTAATTTTGATGTACCTACCATGTTTAGTGATTGTGTATGAAAAATCCCCTAAGCTTATCGTTATAAAGGGAATTCACAGCTTACACTTACTACATCTCAACATTGTCAATATTGTAGAGATTATGATAATATATAAGATCGTCTTGTGTATAAATCCACGTAAAATGGTTAATGATCCAGAGGAATGAGAATTATTTGCTGCTCTGCAAGCTATGCTAATTTTATAACAAGAACAAGAACACAAGAAAATAATAAAAATGTTTATGTACAGTAAAATTTAATAATACTCAACAAAGCTCTAATAGTAAATAGGAGCATTGCAGCCGCAAGCGCACTGTCCGTTAATGTTCACGGCTCCAGCAGCCGGCACGACACCACCGAAGCTCACAGCGCCCATGATGGGGACCTGACCACCGACGGCGGTAGTACCAGCGACTGGCAGCTCACCAGCGACCGCCACGTTGCCTTCACCAGCACCGCCGTAAGGAGCAGCACCAGGGTAGGCCAAACCCTCATAAGCAAAAGGAGTAGCCAGACCGAAGGGAGTGGCAATGCCAGGAGCAACGAGGCCGTTGGTGGCAAGACCGGGACCAGACCAGCCCATAGGCCCAGTAAAACCACGAGCAGCTAATCCAGGAGCGGCTAGACCGAATGGAACATCAACAACAGCTGCGGGGCTGGTGCACTGGCTGAACACATGCTGGAATAGAAATAAATTCTATTAGTTACGATTTCCAAGTCACATGGAATGAACTAAAGCCTGAACTAGCTATGAACTAAATAAGTTATTTGCAACTTCCGAGGAACAAAAAATAGCTTTTCATAAAAAAAATATTTCTCTCACCTGGACCAAGCAAGCTTGGATGCAGAGGAACACATAAGCGAAGGTAGACATGTTTGATGTTCAACGAGGAGCTGACTGAATGGTGAACTGGATCGGTCCCCGAGCTTATATACTTGATACATTGTTCATATCTACCGCGAGGAGTTCACATTGCATCACTTTCATTGAACTGTCTCAATAATTGTGCGTTTGTTTGTTGGTTAACAGACTTATCGCAAAAGTAGGCTTATCGTATTACATAAAAACAATGAAGTAATTTGTAAATTGCTCTAGTATCTGTAACACAATATTTATTATATAAAACCCGCGACAGCAGCACTGGACATCATTCTCGTGTCAGCACTAGAACAGCAGCATCATGTCTGTGAAGGCTATCCTCGTCCTCTGCGCCCAGGCGCTCCTCGTCAAGGTGAGAATATTTTGTTAATATCTCATTTTGTGACAAGAAAACAAGACAAAAACAAGAATTCTAAAATATTGTCATTTTTCAGTCGGTGTTCAGTCAAGCGTGTGGGTACGCTGCTCCCGTCCTAGCCAGCCCTTGTGGACTGGCCGCTTCTGAGTTCGTCGCTCCTTGCGCTGGCCTTGGAGCTGCTGGTTTAGCCGCTCCTTATGGTCTGGCTGGCAGAGGCCTGGGTTACGATGCTATCATCGGTGCCCCTGCTATGGAATTCAGCCCCACCAGTGGTGGTGGTTTGCCTGTGACCAGTGGCTCTGCTATCGCTCCCGTCGGAATCTCTGTGGTGTCAGATAACGCTTACGAAGGTATCCTGCAAGTGATCGGAGAGCTGCCGTTCGTGGGTACTGTCGCTATGGAAGGAGCGTTGCCTACCGTTGGTGGTGGTGCCATCAACCATGCCTGTGGTAATGGAGTGAATGCCATGGTCAGTGAGAATGCTGGCTTCGCTCCTGCTGCAGCTATTGGCGTTCCTCCCTACGGCTCCTATGGGTATCCTGCAGTCTGGCCTGGTACCTTTGCTCCTTCAGTTGATACTGGTTTTCTTAACTACCAAAGAGGTTGCGGCTGTGGATCAAATATAGGTTATGTGTTATAAGTAGAACTATTAAATGAATAAATAAGAGTTTCATGGAATGTAAAACTTTGTTTGATCTGTACCTACACTATTTTTGATCAAGATTTTTTTTACCTATACAGATTTAGGAAAGAATATGCTTACTGTTTTATTTTACATGACTGACATACTGCCTGACTGTTCTGTGGTTGGCGGTCGCTTGGTGGAAGAAGGTTATGTCTCGGTAATGCAATAGTTTTACAAAAAATAGAACTGTTTACAACAAAAGGTAACTGGTGAACTATTGCAAAAAAGCAAACTTCGAAAGCGCATTCAAACTCACTGTACATAACCTTCATTACGCCATGTAATTCTCGCAGAGATATAGAGGTGTGTCGGCGGTTGGAGCGTGCGATGAGAATAGTGTCTACAAAACAACTAGTGCTTCATGTACTCGAAAGTCATTGAATATCTTTCTTAAACTAAAAAAATACATATTTTTTTTCTTTTAACTTTATACATCGAAAGTACTCCTTTAAGAACAGACCTACGGTCGGCGAGCATGAATAGCTCGCCGCCCGACCAGAACCAGATCCGAGCGCGCGCCTCAAAGAGCCATCAGACCACCACGGATGGGGCCGGAGGGGCGGAGAACTTAATGGGTTACCGGGGCTCCAGCTCGAAGTCCAGGAGTAGGAACGGGGTGGTTTTTTGTCAGTAAGAGTCTGACACTCCCTCCCGCCTTACCCAGGTGGGAGAAGACATTCGATGATTTTATCCCCTTAAAAAAAGTAGTTTTATCGCGAGACGAAAACAAAATTAATTTCACGGTGTATAGGTCTAATTTGAATAAATGCTTTGACTTTGATATTATAATATACCATATTATCTATGTAGTTATAAGTTAAATTGCTGCGCCCTAACAGGGCAGGGATCTAATGTAGGTACTGCACCAGTTTTATGTTATATATACTTCTTATTATAATTATGTATGTACATCATGCAATGTAAATAAATAAATAATGTAACGCGGCAATTCGATTTTGGTTTGTGTCGGATGCACGCGCGCAGCTCTAGTGATAACACTCCACCTCACTATCCCTCTTCCCCCGCCTCCCCGCCACTGACCGCTCGACGCTTGCGTGAGAGAAGAGAACAACGACAACGAGTCCCGCGCCGGAGCCGTGACGCACGCGCTCCGTATTTGTGCCGCGAAATATTTGAGTTTTATCTTATTTTAATATTGTGAAACCTTGTTTATATTTAGTTTAACATTTCCTTCAAATATATACGGTTTGCAGTTCAATCGTGTGTCGAACCTTATTTCACGCCCCTGAGAACCCACTAAGACAATATCATCTCAAGTTATTAAAATAATTATTAGTGAAAAGATTGCAAGATTGTATGTGTATTACTGTTCTATCTAGTCGAGGGTTAAAAATGTTATGTTGCTTTACAGTTTAAACTGTCAAACACCAAGCGGTCACCGGTGACCGCGACCTACTGTTCTTTAATTTTGTCTATAAAACCGGTACTCGACGAGTTAATTAATAAATCCTTCGTAACTATATCTATATGGCATATGGCAATAGTACATGGCAATAGGCTCACCCCTTATTACATGGGATTCATCATAAATAGTGAAAAGTGGGTGTTACATTATACAGTGGCATTAGTTGCACGCACTGCCGGACTCCGGTTTTGGGTTCGATTCCCGGGTCGGGCATAGTATAATAGAGTTTAAAAAAAAATCTCAGTAGTAGCACGGAGTCCGGAATTGTGCCTGGTATATGGCAATAGGCTCACCTCCTATTACATGGGTCTCATACAGTGGCATAATGCGCCCCTCTGCCTTTTATCCCCGAATGGGTCTTCGGGGATAAAGGTCGTGATGTTATGCGATGTTAACATTATGTCCAGTCTCTGCTCAATGTCCAATCGCCAACTTTCGACGAAGTACCTTTTGCATGCTTTAAGTCTACTTAATATTTTTGTGGGACAATGCTTTAAGTCTACTTCATATTTTAAAGTGTGTTAGTAGATGACTGATAGCTGCCAGTAAGTCAGAACTCATTATGTTTGGCATTACAAATTAATAGAATCGACTATTCATTTAAAAAATACAGTTTTTGTTCATCAATTTATTCAGTTCGTTTTCGGTTATATTCCAACCAATTTCTTAGATTGCACAGCCACAACCTCTGCCGATGAGATCACCTCGGAAACCAAGTCCGGGTGCCGAGAAAGCAGCGGGAGCGAAAGCACCAGCGGGACCGTAAGCAGCAAGAGGAGCCAGAGCAGCAGCCGGGGCATAGGCAGCAGAGCCACTGGCCATGGCGGTCCTGCCATTACCACAGGCATGGTTGACGGCACCAGCACCGGCAGAGGGCACTACGCCTTCCATAGCAACAGTACCCACGAACGGCAGCTCTCCAATCACTTCCATAACACCCTCGTACACATTGTCAGACACCACGGAGATACCGACGGGAGCTATGGCGGAGCCACTGGTCACAGGCATACCACCACCGCTGGTGGGGCTGAACTCCATGGCGGGGGCGCCGATGATGGCATCGTAGCCCAGACCTCTACCAGCCAGACCGTACGGAGTTGCTAAGCCAGCAGCTCCAAAGCCAGTCCAAGGAGCGATAAACTCAGAAGCGGCCAGTCCACAAGGAGTGCCTAGGACGGGAGCAGCCAGGCCGTAAGGAGCGGCTAGCGGTATTTCAGCGACTGCAGCTCTGCTAGTACACTGGCTGAGGGCGGACTGAAAATAAAAACCAATTCGTCAGTAAAATACTTATCCACGACGTGACGTGTAAGATGTACTTAGTTAAAATGTTTAAAATTAATTTTAAAGTGCCATTCTCACCTTGACGAGAAGCGCCTGGGCGCAGAGGACGAGGATAGCCTTCACAGACATGATGCTGCTGTTCTAGTGCTGACACGAGAATGATGTCCAGTGCTGCTGTCGCGGGTTTTATACTAAACTGTGTTATCAAGCTCCAAGAATATTAGTAGGTAGGTAGGCATATAGCAATTAGAACCTTGTGCAATCGTGATAAGCTTACTATTTACAAACAATAAAACGTTTAAATATTGACACATTTAAATGGCAATGATGTAATGAGAAGTCCTCGTAATTGATAATGTTATATTTATGTATAATGTGACAAGTATATAAGGTCGGAGACCGATCCAGTTCATCATTCAGTCTTCAGCTCCTCGTTGAACATCAAACATGTCTACCTTCGCTTTTGTGTTCCTCTGCATCCAAGCTTGCTTGGTCCAGGTAAAAACATTGCATTTTACTTCTCTAATTTTACCATATTGAATAGTAATGATCCATAACTTTACACTCTCGACTTCATAATGCTAACCATGATTTTCTATTCTAGCATGTGTTCAGCCAGTGCACCAGCCCCGCTGCTATTGTTGACGTTCCTTTTGGACCGGCTTCTGGTTTAGCTGCTCGTGGTCTGGCCGGTCCTCTTGGCTGGGCTGGTCCTGGTCTGGCAGCTAACGGACTTATTGCTCCCGGTCTTGCTGCTCGTGAACTTATTGCTCCTGGCATTGCTGCTCCTTTCGGTCTGGCTTCTCCTTTAGCTTATGATGGTCTGGCCTACCCTGGTGCTGCTCCCTACGGCGGTGCTGGTGAAGGCAACGTGGCGGTCGCTGGTGAGCTGCCAGTCGCTGGCACTACCGCCGTCGCTGGTCAGGTCCCCATCATGGGCGCTGTGAGCTTTGGTGGACCTGTGACTGCTGCTGGCTCCGTGTCCATCACTGGACAGTGTGCGTGCGGCTGCAATGCTCCCATTTACTACTAAAGAGTAATGAAATTGTAAATACCAAGAATAAAATGTATTTTTCTAGAACACAATATGTTATTATCTGTATTTTGCCTGACCTTTTTTCCAAACACAGGAAATTACATTTTCCTTGATAAATTACGGTTTTTGTGGAGTATTACCATGTCATTGTGTTTAGAGGAAACTTACCGATAGCGAATTTGGGTTTTGTTTTTTTTTCTATTTATATATTTTGGCGAAACTAGTAGAGCTTTTCTCAGTATATTCACGTGAATAACCCGCGATTTTAGTTATTTCAAATCTGTTGTAAGCAGCTTACACATCTACTATTTATTTAAACAGTGATTCATCACAAGACCTCAGCAATAAACAGTGAGTGGACAAATGATTCCACCATGATATTTTTAATATACATTGGAATACTGATTTATTTAATGTCCTTAGAATTATTTTCTATTTCGATCTCTTTGACTGGATTTTGGTGTTACATTGTTCTCAATCAATTGAATCAACAAAACTATGTAACTAAAGAATAATTGTATTGTGAACCCATGACAGCAGCACTGGACATCATTCTCGGGTCAGCACTAGCAGCATCATATCTATGAAGGCTACCCTCGTCCTCTGCGCCCAGGCGCTCCTCGTCAAGGTGAGAATATATTGTTAACATTGCTTTGCCAAACAAAATCAAACGTCATATTTCTATCGATTCTAATATTATTTTCAGTTGGTGTTCAGCCAGGCTTGTGGGTATGCTGAAACCGTCCTAACCAGCCCTTCGTTTTTCTTGGACTTACTAACTGCCAAGACTTGATAATTGCCAGTAAGTCAGACCTTATGTTTGGCATTAAATCAAAGGAATGGAACTACCTATTAAAAAATAATTTGTTTTGTTCATCAATTTATTCAGTTCGTTTTCGGTTATATTCCAACCAATTTCTTAGATTGCACAGCCACAACCTCTGCCGATGAGATCACCTCGGAAACCAAGTCCGGGTGCAGCGAAAGCAGCTGGAGCAAAAGCACCAGCGGGACCGTAAGCACCAAGAGGAGCCAGTGCAGCAGCAGGGGTATATGCAGCAGAGCCACTGGCCATGGCGGTCCTGCCATTACCACAGGCATGGTTGATGGCACCAGCACCGGCAGAGGGCACCACGCCTTCCATAGCTACAGTACCCACGAACGGCAGCTCTCCAATCACTTCCATAACACCCTCGTAAACATTGTCAGACA